AGGTTTTGAAGATGGTCAATGCACTGGAGATGGAAGCATAACTGACAGGTGAGAAACAAACTTTCCCAGCAGGAGCAGCTACTTCTGCAGATTTGGAAACTTTTTCCTGTTTCTGGTATATTTGCAGTTCAAGAACTGGCTTATTCAGAGCTGAGAAACAATAAAGGACTGACAATAACAAAGAAGGTGTGCTTTTTATCTTTCCATAATCAGAGAAACAAACAAACCAACCAAGAGGAGAGGATGAGATGTACTCATTCTAAAGTCTTGAAAGGGTAGTTTCTGGAAACACTTCTTCAACTCACTGATCACTTCTTGCTTTGGTTTCATGCACCAGGTGTTTTAACCTAAAAAGTATTCTGAAATTTACTTTTCGTTCTGTATTGTGTATTTGCAAGGCAAAGAGATTTTACTAATAAAATCAATTCAAACTGCTGGGGTACTTTAGCATTACAGTTTTCATCCAAAAGAGCAATCATGAGTAATAATTTAATCACCACCTCTTCAAGAGCAAATAGTGATTCACCATTTTTCTAATGTAAAAAATATCTAAAAACTAAGACTAAAGGCATACTATGTTACATAATCGATCAAAATAAAAGTAGCAAAAATAGAGTATTTGATGAGTAAAAGAATAACCAGATTTAACAACAGGGCAGTGGTGAGGAAAGCTATACTTGGTTTCATAGGTGCTGTTCAGTAAAACTTGACCTTTTTTCAGGGAAACGAGTTAAAAAGAAAGGCAAAACCAGAAGAAAATCAATTTCTGAATGCAAGTGATCTGCTGTCACTAAAACCTGTGATTTTGATCCTTCTGACCTATATCAGTCTCTGACTATCAGTAGAGAGACCCTAACACAGGTACCCAGCTCCACTGGTGTGGAGCCTGTGAATGCTGATATTTGTGTGCGAGTGCCAAGACCCCCATTACAAGCTGCAGCTCATTTTTGGCAACCACCACCTCAAACATATGTTTTAAGAATGGGAATGTCCACACATATGTGAGATTGAGTAACTTCTTGGCAAGACTCTACTTCGTTTTGTTGAGGGTCAAGAAAACAGCAGACGAAACCAAGTTCCTCACCCCAAGATTCTACAGCTCACACACAACTAATCTGTGTTAGAGAATGAGATGGAAGTTGCACAAAAATGTCCTCTCCAGTCCTCAGGGCCACATTCAGCCCAGAAGGAATCCTTTGAGCTGAAATATCAACCTGAGAAAAGGTGTGAAAGAACAGGCTTCACGCCCCTTTTGCTCCTTTCTGATCTCTCAGGTAATTCCTGCATCCTCACTCTCAGGAAGAGGACTTTTCTGACTTTTCTATCTCCTTATTCTGCCCCCAGAGAGCGCTTCTCAGAGAGCTGAAATATTGACATTTCCCCCCTTCCTTTACCTTTTCCCTCCCAAGAACACAACAGCACCAGACGTGCACCCATCCCACCCCAAGGCAGCTGTATTTTCAGGTATGCAGAGAGACTTTAGTGTATCTGGAGAGACAAATCACTTTTCTAACTCCTCAACGAGATTTGCAGCTCACTTGCTCATGAGTACAAACGGGGCGAAAGCTCCAACATGAGCTCTGTGCAGCAACTTGCTCTATGTGCAGCTGTATATCCCAGGGGATGTGGGGACACTCCACTGTGCTCCAGCACGAGACCCTCCTGCCCATATGCACCAGATGCTAAAGGTGGTTCCCATCCAGAATCTGGCCTTGGCCCTGCAGGGTGTCGAGCGCCCTGAACTCCCCGGATTTTGGACATGATGGAGGAGAGAAGATGAAGCATGGAGTGGGACTAGTCCCAGAGCATGCCAAGTGCAGGGATTTGGAGCCAATATCTGCTGAGACAGTGAATCAGAGAGTGATTTGAAAGCAAAGCAATACACAACCGATCAGGCAAGACAGCAAAATTCCTTGCAAATCGTTTGCAAAAACAAGTGGCCATCCACTGCAATTTTTCTGTCAGATTTGAAGGGAAATATCCTTGTTGCACATTCCTGCATAAGCAAGCTGAGGCTTCACAGGAATGTCTGCATCCCCCTGGACCACTCCCCATGCTGGAGAGGTTTCCCATCCTCCTGGGAAAGGAGCTGCACAGACAGTCTCTTACATGGCATGGTATTGTGAAGCTGGTGAGACTGGCTAACAAATCTACTTGCTGCTCCCTTCTCGGCCCTCTTTGGTTTGCAGATTTCTGGACATCAGTGACCCATGAGGACCATGAACATCAGAGGCTGACTCTGGTTATACCCACCTTAGATACCCTCCTTTCAGCTCCCCAACGTCGCTCAACCCTGCTGCACCCCAGGACTGAGAACAAAGAGAAAGGAGGCTCTAGACCACATGGGAACCACCCCCAGAACCACAGCCAGCTTCTGTCTCACTGTGGGCAATGAGAGGCTGGCAGGTAGCATGCTTCACCATTCTTCCCTCTCTTCTTGTGCAGCAATCCTTGACTGGGGGTCATTTGTTCGCCTGAGAAGCAGGGCTGTGTTGGCAGCAAGGCTCCTTACAGTCAGGGAGGGGAAGGCAGCCCTGGGCAGTGAAAGGGATGGATGGCTCCTCCCAGCCTTGAAGCAAGGGCAGTTGAGAGCATGAAGAAGAGAGAGGTGAGGACTGCTCAGGGCACAGGGCAACCATCAGCAGTTGGGATGACTGTTCCCAGTGGCCCAGTCTCAGTGGCCAACATGGAAAGACTTGGCTGTGGAGGACTGACACTTGCTCCAAGACAAGGCAGCAAAGCCAGACCCAAGGAAGACAGGTTGCCTCTGCAGTGAGCAGCCCCTCCTTGGCCCTTGGCTTGGGGACGTCTCGGGCTCTCACTAGAGCCAACACCTGATCCATGCCTAGGGCCTGAAAAGCCATCAGGCTGGGAAATAAAGTGGCCAGAAAGCCAGGAAGCTTGTTCCTTGAAAAAATGCCTGGCAAGGCATGTCTCCAGACATCAGCATCACCCCTCGCCTTCTCCCAGGAGGACACTGGGCTACCAAGCCCCAAAGCCAACAGCCATGACAGCACAGGCAGCAGCTGTGCCTGGGGCTCCCAAGCTGGCCAGGAGGAGTAGTTCTTCTCCCCAGCTGCCATTCAATGAGCCTCCAGCTCACTCCCGAGGGCTCAGCCTGCAGTAAAGCCACTCGGCAGAGAGTGCCAGTGGCTGCCACCTCTGCAGGCAGTCAGAGGATTCTAGACATCCCAGACAGATCTGCTCTGGAGCCAGCTCAAATGGAGCAGCCAGTAGGCTGTAACACACAGGGCATATATGCACCCTTGGCAGTACCAGGGAGATGGAGACTGTCACACTGCTGGCCTGGCATCCCTCAAAGCACCCACATAAACCCTTTCCAAACAGTGTGGGAAAGGCAGGTTTGCCACTGGGATGAAGTGCTGCAAGAATGGAGCTTGGCTGCTGGGTCTTGCTTCTCCATGGGCAATTCACCCACAGCTCACCCTGTACTGGGGAGAGCTGGGAGAGCTCCCTCACAGAGGGAGTTTGGCAGAAATGAAGAAGCAAAACGCTCCTAAAGGACTGGAATGGGGAGGGACATGAACAGCATCTCTCTGAACTCTGTCAGGCAGAGGAGTCACACCTGTGCAAGACAAGAGCACTGAGATAAACATGGGCAGAGACCAATGGCAGACAGATGATACTCTAGAGATGTGGATGCTTTGTTGGAGTAAGGGATGACAGCAATAGAGAGCTCATGACACAAATAATATGAGGAACAATGAAGCAGAAACCAACTCTGCATCCCCCGGGAGATCCTAGGAAAAGCCTAAGCCCCCAGAGCAGGATATGCACACACAACTCCTGCAGTCCCCGCTCCCTCCCCGTGATCCCCCAACATGGCACACAAGCAAGGCAAATCTGCTCCCAGGCAAGGAAGCAAATTTTAATGCTACCTCTGTCAATAATGCAACCAGATCCATAGTTCAAAAGGAGCTTGCTAATTAAAAGCTGGTGAGCTTTAAATAATTCATCTCCTTAACTTGGATTGATTAGAGAGTTTAATGGTTAGAGTCTTGAAACAATATTAAACAGCCTCTTCAAGGCCCAGGTAGCCAGTGACTTTTCCAAGTAAATCTTACCTCCTTGCAAACTTTATGCTCAAATGTCACTGAGGATGAAGGGCTGGGAGGCAGAGGGAACACCTGACCACTGGTCTCCAAGAGGTGATCCACTGCCCCGCAGAGAAACAAGACAGGCAAGAGTGATGCAGCCCTGAGTCACAGCCCTGTCTACAGCCCAGTAAATCTGAGCTCCTGCCCGTACTGCAGCCTGCTGCTGTCCCAGCTCTGCATCCCTAGGGCTAAGCAGCAGGCAGATATATGGCCTCAGTGTCCTAGGCGAGGTCTCCCTCATATCACTTTGATCCCTGGTGCAGAGGAGTTGGGGCATACACAGAACTCTGCCACTGTTCATCTTGAAGCACTGTTTATCAGTTGTTTATCTTGGAGCAGGCTGCGGGACCACGAAACTCATCACACATGTGAGCAAACAGGACGATGATTCAGTTCTCCAGCTGGGACCACGCATCTTCACTCTGCAGTGTGTTTCCAGCCAGCTCCCAAGGCTGTGCTGCCTGGCAGAGCCTCCTTCCCAAGGACGATCACAGCATCCAGAGCAACTCGAGGACCGGTCCAACGGGAAGAGCATCCCACCTAGCCTGGGGACCCTTGCCCTGTGCTCCAGGCACCTGGTGCTGCCCTACATCCAACCCCAACCCAAGCACTGCTAGAGCAGTCCAGGAGGGAAGCAGCTCCCTAGCCAGAGGGACCTGCAGGTATGTTTGGCACATTGGGATATGCCAGGGACAGGGAGGTCATCCGTGTGCCCATCCTGCCCTGACACATCTGCATCCCTTTTACCAGCTGGAAGACCCTGCAGTCCTTTGGCTGGCTCTTAGCACCCCAGACTGGACAAGGTCTCGGAGCTGAGGCACGTTCCGCGCACCCGGAGCAGCAGCCGTGGGGATGGGAATGGCACAGGGCAGCAACACTCACCTATCCCGCTGTGAGGCCTCCCTATGTGCTGTAGGTTCAGTCCTTTGTTCATGTCTAAGAGCCCGTTCTTTGGCCAACTCCCCATGGCAAAGCTGTACGCCTGGAAGAGAGAAGCAGAGTGTCAGACAGCACAGCCCATGTGCAGGCATGATTTGTGTTTGCCCAAGTCTGGCTGCTCCCGGTGCTAGCGTAGGTCTGCATTCACCATGTTCAGTGCAGACCCACACACCACCCTCACAGCAGCTCTTCTGGAGCTGCCCACACAAAGTACCCTCACCCTGCCCTGTCCCACGTGGTGCTCCTCAGAGAAGAGGTGTCCAGAACCTCTGGTGGTGTCCTGTACAGCTGACAACCCTCACGAGGGAGGGATTTGCATCACTCAAGGCTACATTTGCCGTGCTGGGGCAAGCCAGGGGCTGTGACCTCATCACCCACGTCCCTTGGTTGCTCCAATAACATCCACCCATTCCTGCCTTACTAAAGATGGGGTCATCAGCAGGAGTCAGGGGGATTTGGAAAGGGGCACCCATGCCGAGGCTGGCCTGGCCAGCAGTCTCCTTCCCCTCCCTCCGGAAAGCACAGCCCTCCAGGCTCCCTCTCCTTTCCACCCCCAGACCCCAGTTGCTTCAGGGCTCTCCATCACTGGGTGAAATCCCACTGGGAGACAGGACTGCTCATCCCACTGAACAGAGCCTGCAGCCTGGCCAGAGGGAGCCTGCTCCATCCCCACTGCATCCCCTGGCAGGGTTTCCAGCAGGAGCAAGGCAGCAGGGAGCCTGAGCGGCACAAAAACCCACTGGACAACGCAAACATAAAAGCAGCCAGGCCTCTGTGTGACACGCACAGCTGTAATTACAGCCTGACAGCCACATATCTTCTTCATCTTGAGGAATTAAGCTCAGCAACGCATTGTGAGCAGTAAGAAGGGTGCGTGGGCTTAGCGTCGCTCACGCTGGCACTATCTCTGCTGCCGTGAGGGCCATTGTCCCCAGATGAGATCAGGTCAATCCAGCAGCCCCTATCTCCCTTCTGCAGGGGGGATCATCGCTAACTGCAGCCACAGTGTGGCGGGGCATTGCCGACACCCTCCGCAGGCTGCAAATGCCATGGAGACACTCTGCAGCAGGAAACTGGGCGAGCAGAGCTGAGCAGTGCCCCCCACCAGCCCACCAGCCACCTGCCTGCCACTGGGACCTCCTGCCAGCCCCTCTTCCCTGCTACCTGCTGCTCTGCCCAGCATGGGCAGGTCCAGCCCCTGAACAGCCCCCACTGCCAGCAGCCCCCCCGAGAGCCACAGGGCTTGGGGGAGTTAATTTATTAGTGGCCCACGTAACCATTCACGCTGCTTTGTTCCTCCTGCCTTAGCAAAACAGAGGGCTCCACAGATAATTAATAGACAGCATTGCTAATCCTGTTGGGAGATGATTAGCAATTAAAACTCCTAATTAAGTCTATGCATAATTCACTGAAATTACACTTTGTGTACACAACGGGGAGGTTTCTTTTGCCTTTGACAAATACACTCTGGCATGTTCACTGCCATGGGCGGGATGCAGGCTGGCCAGCCACGGTGGGGGGGAGCTGGAGGTGCAGGATGGGACCCTGCCACCCATCCACGGGTGGCCCTGGATGATGGCAGAAGTGGTTCCACACGCGGCTCCCTCTCCTGGGCTCCATCCCACAGTGCAAACCCAGGCACAGCACAGGAAGGTTCTCGTGCTCAGCACCAGCAGGATGACAGCACTGGGGGCCATCCCTGGGGAAGGAATGTCCCCGGATGAGGAAAGACTAGGGGTTTCCCTGCACAGGGAGCTACCATATCGCAGGCTGCCTTCCCAGCCCAGACGTATCCCTTGGACCCTGGCCAGGAGCAACTGAGCGAGCACAGCAGGAGGCTGGCAGGATCTCTGGAAAGCCATGGGGACAGCTCTGGAAAGCTCCTGGCAGCTGGGTGCTAGTGCCAATCCTGGCCTGCCTCCCCTGGCTCTGCAGCAGTAGCAGCATCAGCAGGGAGCTGGCGGCACGTGCCCCGGCCCCCGGATCAGCACCGGGCCCATCTCTGCACAGCGCTTTGCTTTCCTGATCAAGGTCATTCGGAACAGCCACAATACCTGAGCAAACTAGCTAAGCAGCCAGGGTGGAAGTTGGCCTGACCACTGAAGGTCAAGTGTGCACTTATGCATATTCAAAGCTGCCTGCAGGATCGATCGGGTTTTAATTGTTTTTCCTGGGGTTTTGGAAGGAAGTGCCAGGGGCATTGATCAGTCCCAGACAAGGCCGCTCACACTCTGGGGCTGGCAGGGATCGTCACTGCTGCAGGCAGAGGGAAGTGCAGGCAGTGATGATGGAGGGATGAAGGCCAGGCAGGGAAGAGGTCAGCCAGCCAGCACCGGCCGGGAGGAGGAGCCATTGCCAGGCTGCGCTGGAAAATAAAGTTTTTTAATTAAAAGTGGCAATTCCGAGCCGCCTGCCGGCAGCAGCCACACAATCAAGAGCGAGGAGCTTTGCTGTTTAATATTTAAAGACAATGTTTAATCTTTAAACAGGAAAGTTCTTCTTCTGACTGTTAAAGCGAGGCAGAAAGCGCCGGTGGCTCCCTGACGCCGGGGTCCCCAGCCCACAGGGGTGGCCACGGCCACGGGCTCACTGGGACACCACTACTGCTCCAGCCCCACACAGCTGCCAGCACTGGCACAGACCCCTGTCCCTTCAGCATTTATCCCTATGGCAAGCTCTGAAAAAGTCTGAGACATCCCTTTCTGAGAGAAAACCGCACTATTTTGCCCCTCCCTCCAGTTCAGTCCTGGTGTTGCAGGGTCTGGGTTGCTCCCTTTTAGGTCAGATGCTGAAGCAGGGTGAGGACCCTGAGGCTTTTTATTTTTATCTGCATTTTAATTTATAGAAAACGCAGACATCTTTTAAAAAAGCTATTTTTTAAATGTTTTTGGCCAGAATCCTGATTTAGAGAGAAACTCAATGCTTCTGATCTTCCAAAAGCCATCCAAACAATATTGGCAGAATAATTTCCAAGCAGCTTGGATACAATTACTTCATTCATACAAGCTCCTAGAAAGGTTTTCCTTTTTCTCTTGATTTTGTTTGTAATTCTATGAAGGTTACATTTACCTCCCTGCCAATGCTGCTCTGAAGTCAGATGATTATTAATTATATTTATTTACTTTTACAATCCCATAGGCATACGCAGCAGTTCACAGACAAATACTGCCCTGGGTCCCTGATGGAGGGATCTTGAATCAAAGGTAAGCAGATACTCCTGTGATAAATGTGAGCTAACAGCAGCAGGAGATTAGTAACATACTGTGTTTCCATGCACAGAGCCAGCACCACAGATAATCCACACCTTGTTAAAAGTGCTGGTATGGGGAGGTAGGTCCTTAGGTAACCTGTACCTCACATATCCTGCAGAAAATCCAAAAACCAGAAGTGAGGATAAAACATGGGGTACAGCAGCCTGGGGCATGGAGATGATGTGTGTGTAGAATCACAGCATCTGAGGCTGTATTTATAATAGAGCAAAAAAGAGTTTGAGACCATCCTCTCCCATTGCACCAGGTCACAAATCCTCCTGGTGGCCGTAACGCATCTGCCTCAGTTTGCAAAGGGCCTGAATGTGGCTTATTTCTGGCACCGCTGGGGTCCCCTCTGTGCTGGGGCAGGAGCACATGGAGCACATGACTGTGGGGTTGGGCAGTCCCATGGAGCACAGGATTTGTGCAGTCTGGCAGTGAATTTGGCCTGCCCTTGCTGCAATTCCAGTGCACCTATCCCCAGGAACGCTGGGGTTGGCAAGGTGGCAGCACCAACACGGTTGGCTCCTGATGTGCTGCTCCCTGGAGTTTGTTTGAGCTGCACACCATGGATTATAAGCAGCACAGCTGCAGAGAAGATGTTCCAGGGCGTCAGAAAATTCCAGGAACTGGAACTTGTCAAGCTGATGTATTGATCTAAGTGGACTGAATAATGCTCCATCATTTATTTATGGGGAAGTGCCCGGCACACTTCACAAAAACTGGTGTTCGGCAGGCACATTAAGGCAAAATTTAACATCCTACACCATGCAAACAGGTCACCTGTGCAGAGGTCAGGATGCTCACTTACATGAGGAGCCCCACAAATCCTTCCTGCACGGACAGGAAGAGACAGGGCTGGTCCTCATGGAGCTGCTGGAGCTCTGTCAGGGCAATGCGCCAATGCTGACAGAGCCAGCCCTGTCCTTTCTGCACGTGTCTGTTGATGCTGTGACCTGCTGGCCGGCCCCTGGCCCCTCTGCCCTCCACTAGAGCTGCAGGCATTGCATCGCCCTGGGTGCTTTAGCTGAAGGGCAGGAGGGAAGCGGGGCTTTGTGCTTTGCAATGGCATGAGCATGTTCACAAACCACGGCAGCAAGAACTACCAGGACCAGCACAGTCTCTCCTCCTGCCCTGACCAGCAGGGCAACTCTGTCATTTTATTTTACAGGTCCTACCAAGAGGTTTTATATGTTTCATCTGCTAATTGTAATTTTAATATTAATACAGACACTTTCAGGCAGGGAGAAAATATCTGCTTTGGAAAAAATTCTCCCAGGAGCAAAGGGGCTCAGCAGTTTGAGAAGATGCTAAAGGGTGGGTAGTAAGGAATAAGAGAAGAGGTGTTTTTTGCTCAAAGTTTCCATTCAGAATTTCAAAAAGACACCAGAGAAAAACATGGGTTTAACCAGGCAGAAAGTGGCTGCGACATCTCCCAGTTGCCCTTGGCCTGGGCAAGCAGCAGGTGCCAGCTGTGCTCTCCCAGTATCAGGCTGGGCACAGCTGCCTGCTGACCAAATCTGAACCCCCTGACATTTTCACAATGGAGAAAATGTCTTTGGAATAGCAAAAGCATCTTCCTCCTCTTGTCATGTCAACTGCACGCTGTGTCCGCCCAAAATAAGCATTTGCCTTTAATTCCTCTCATCCTGCTGCTGCCACAACGAGGTGTCAAAGTTTTATATTTCCTCATATGGTGGGAAGAAAAAAAGAGGTCATGGCTATGACTAAGTGAACTTTTAAACACAGCTTGAAATGTTTTTAGTGAACGTAAGGTTTTGGGGCTGGGAGT